ATGTCCACCGTCCCAGCCACTGCCAGGCTGTGGGGACGGGGAGTGTGGAGGATCGAACTCAGGGCTTGCACTCTCACTTGGCTTCTTCCGCATAAGACTGGTACTCTGCCACTTTTGAGCCACTCATGGCCATGAGTGGTTGATTGGAGGCAAGTCTCAAGATCCATCTTCCCTGGCTGCCTTTGGACCACGATTCTCAGATCTCAGCCTCATGAGTCGCTGGGATAGGTATGAGCCACCACGCCCAGCTCTGCCCTGCCCTCCTCCTTGGGGCTCCCCAGGATGGACAGGGAGGCAGGCACCATGTCACAGATTTTAAGTCCCCCAACTTCTGCCCTTCTCCATTTGCCACGGCTGGCCCAGCGGCCACCACCCTCCTGGGCTGGCCGGCTGCTGCGTCTCGGCACAGGAAGACACACACAGTGACGTCACTAGGTTGGTACAAAAATTTAACAAGTTTTTTTTTTTTCCTTTTACATCTTAAAAAACTAAACAGGTGTTTGAGGAGAGTGCGGTTGCCAACCGACCAGGGGTATGCCACGAGAGGTATGCCACAGAACACCACGAGACACAGAAGAAAACCCGGCAAGGAAGGTCACAGAGAGCTGAGGAAATCGCAGGTGGACAGCGGTCACAGGAAGGGCAGGTCACAGGCCCGGGGCCAGGCTTGGCCACGGGTCCCGATCAGCGCTTCCGCATCTCGCAGCTCCGAGACAGCACCTTACAGGAGGTTTACAGTATTTTGTTCAGAATACACACAAAAAGAAAAGGCAAAGTGAGGCAGAGGGGCTGCGTGGGGTGGTGATGCGGGCACGGCCCCCCGCACAAACGAGCCGCGGGAAGGTTGGTTCACATTTTTTAATCACATGGCACATGTACATCACACAGGCTCCCGGGAGGACATGCTGACTCGGGTGTGCTGCCCCCTGCCACACAGATCGGGAAGACTTCGTTACATACAGGAGGGACGGCAGGAAGCTCGCATTGACCAATCTGTACAACACCCAGGGCGGCGACCACAGTTCCGCGCACAGACTCCTTAGACTGTTGGGGGGTTTTTGTTTTAGGTTGTCTTTAAGGAAAAAGAAAAACAAACCAAAAGGGGGAAAAAAAACCCAGAAAGGAAAAAAGAAAATCCAAAAACACCCCCACTCCATGACAGCTGGTATTCACAAAATCTGAAGCTTACCACTAAACCGGTCAGTTTACTACTAAAATAGATCTCTCTGCTTATTAAAGCAATGGTCTGTAGTTAACTTTTTTTGTCTTTTCTCTTTTCAACAAAAAAAATCCCCCCCCAAGCCAACCCCCCCCCAAAACCAAACCCCAAACCAGGGCACCAATGTCAGGTAGCACTTTTAAGACACTAGAAGACCAATGGAAGGAATTTTATTTCATACATGTTATTTTACAATCCAGTAGACAAGATATATTCTATTTCTCTGCTACTAAAAGTCATTTTCTCTCAAATATGTAGACAAGAGGCTTAGTGAATTATAAAAGATCACGAAGAGACGTGAAAATTGATGCAAACTCAAAAAACACACGCGCACACGACACTTTTTTAAAATTTTTTCTCTGCCACCCACCCCGGTGATACTCTCCATAGCGCCCCGAGGCTGACCTGCTCGTCCTGAGCAGACTTCATCTTCACCCCAAGAAATGTGGATCTGAGATTCCTCATTACCTGCAGTGTGTGTGTGTGTCTGTGTGTGTGTGTGATCACACCCACCCTCCGAGAAGGCTCGGGTCTCCTCTGCACATGGTAGGGGCCCAGCACCCCGGGGAGCCCTGGGGTGCAGGGGATGGGCGCCCCCTCTTGCCCCGCCCTGGCTGCCCCCATCCCGGGGTCACCTCCTGGGGGTACACCTCCCCAAGACTCCACAGATCCAGACACGAAAGATACAGCCTGGAGGGGCCGCCGCGGAAAACCGGGTGCTTCTCCGCCGGGAAAGGAAAAGAAAGAAAGCGAGGAAGAGTTGTTCGCAGCAAGCGCTATGACCTTAAGCATGTGGTAGATGAGTCTGAAAGGCTCGGCGGAGTCGGGGGGCTCCGGGGAGCCCCGACATTCATTGCATAGTTGAAGGGTTTAGCTGAAGGGTCTCGCTCGGATATTCGGTCGGCAAATAGCACATTTTTAAGTATTCATGTATAATGTTAATCTTTTTTTTTTCTTAAACCTATTTACATTTTATACAAAGTAAAGCTTTCTTCTAACCCTTTTGCATATATGAACCGTATGTACAGGCCTCCTCCCCGGAGGGGCGC